ATCAAACGAAGCTCCATGAAATGGCTTTTGCATTTACAAAAGCGATAGTCGCAAATACTCGATGTCCATTCCTTTGAAAGGTCCACGATAAGCCGCAAACAGAGGAAACATTTAGATAGCTGAGTTCCACTCAAATGGCTATAGCCTCTAAGTATCATATATAAAAGTGAAGAGCATTGCTTGCAGCGCTAAATATATATATTATAATTCCTTTATTAGTAATCTTACAGCTGACACATATCCATATTATACAAGAAAACACATAGACAATACACAAAGCCAAAACAGGTTACATTGATAAACATAATATTTGAAACAGAAAATAATATATAAATTATAAAATAATAGTTAATTAATTCCATAACATTATTTGTTTTTTGAGATTTTATCTTTTAAACCCATATTGTTATTATTTATAGAAGGTCTCCAATGCCTTGAAATTTCGTGTATTAGCGCTTTCTCGTATTATAAACAGAAAACATATGTACATTAATAAAACAAAAAGAAAACTGAAATTGGACCTTAAACAGACGACAATTAATACTTAATATTATAAGGAAAAAACTTAATTGTTACTGCTTAACAAAGTCAAGGTCAAATATTCCCTCACATGCTCTCTGGAATGGTGGAAAATATCAACATCCTCATAATTAGTGTCATAGTTAGCTAACTCGAAACATTGGCGAATTACGCAGATAATTCGTGTTCGTACGAGGAACAATTGCGAATATCTTGTCGCATAAGGAGGAGGGTTTACAGTAAATAGAGGCTATCTGTATTAATAGCGTGCAAAAATAATAAGTCTTGCTGACTCCGCCGATAATCCTCTCTTTAATCGGCAGCTCAGCGTCGTGGTCAGCAAAAAAGCGTCTGGAGCTGACTATCTGTTTCCACCGGTTTCGGTCCAGCCGATCTTTTATGACAGTGTACAGTTTTGAGGAGGATAAGGCTGCTGCCTCGAATTTTGCGGGCAGCGGGGTGGCAGCGGCGGAGGCGCGGGAGCGGCAGGATCTTATGCGTAAAATCAAATGGACCGGTTCTCGAAAACGGCGGCGTGGCAGCGGTGCGAGGGCGGGTAACGAGAGGTGCAATCGCCCGCTCCCGCGCCGCAGCCGCCGCCGCCCCGCTGACCGCAAAATTCGAGGCAGCAGCCTAAGTATTTTACTTGGTCGGCTCATCTGGTTGGTGAACGGCCACGTGATCTTTTGCCTTCTGTGTTATTAACTACGATCAGTTTCTCCAAGTTCTCATCGCCTCTGCGCCGATAATCCAATGAGTCTAAATTAAAATATTTGCAAGAGTCTGCATAGCGATCAAAATAATGATACTGTTAAAACTAAGGCATTTCACAAACTTTTTTTTGTATATTTTTTACAGCTTTAATTAATTTAATTTTACATGTCATTTTGCATTCGTGAGAGGTTTATAAACTTCAGGGATTATTTATGTTAGTGATTAAAAATGTTACAGATGTGTATGTTAACCTAAATATAGTGCAAATCGAATTCAAATGCAGTTACGGAGTTGTATTTAAATTAAATATATTAATAAGAATAAATATATTAAAATAAGTCTTTATTCCCTGATCGTATGTTACGAAAACAGATTATTTTTTCAATAACTTTATCTAACCTAACCTAATATAACATTTTTTCCCATTCCCAGAGGATACCGAAGAGACTGGAACGGAAGAACAGTATTATCTTAAATACTTAGTAAATAAAGAAGGGGAAAACGTGACACATGCCCCTGATGCCGCCCTAAACCCTAAATATCACTGGGTGGATATGGATTTACTGCGACCATTATACTGTACCCCGGGATATTATACTCCTACACGTTGTCAGTAGGCCCAAATTAATTAATGAAATTGTAACCAATGCTTTATTAACAAATAGTCTAAATATAGTTATCACTCATTAGAAATCTGCCTTGCGATTCTGTAACTCACTTTTCGAACTCACGCAGCGGTTTTCGCATCGGCGGTCGCTCTCAAATCAGTCGTGAAGCAGTCATTTTATGATTTGGCATTCTGATAAACAATAAACTACAAGCTCCCACCTTATCAGTCTTTATTTTCTACTATAAAAAAAATGGTATTTTATATAATGCAAACAATTTTTATTTTGTAGCTCATTAACTAAATTTAAACAAACGCATTCATCATCGTTAAACTTGAAAGCAAAAATCAGCAACGGAAAATGAAAATATTTCCTTTTGTGGACTGAAATAGATTAGGTGCGACGGTTCAACAAATAAATCCCTATTTACATTGAATTTTCTTTCTGTTTGTGCAACAGGTAAGCGGTCAGCCGATAAGCTCTGACATCCCTATCCGTTTTGTGAACTGTGGTTAACACAAATAGGTTTTTTAAAGAAATTTAAACGATAATATAAAACTAGTATTTTTGTATATCAACTATGAGGGGTTTTTTGATTCTTTCAGTTCGTAATGAATCATTACCTAATGTTAAGTGATACCGCCGCCCGGACAATCTCTGTTAATGATGTCAGAGGGCTCGTGAGTAGCCGGTCTTTTAAGAATTGGTATGCTCTTTTCTTGAAGGACCTTATGTCGAATTGGTTTGGAAATACTTCAGTGGGCTGCTGGTAGCGACATAACGGTAGTGCGCGGGAACTTCCTTAAAAACGCTCACTTGTGCAACGGCGGTGGATTTCGTATTGTGCCTGCGATCCGATAGTGAAACTTAGCTGCAGGTATTAATTGGAACAATTCGTCTGCACACTTTTCATGGTAAATGCGGTAGAAGATGCATAGTGACCTCACATCTCTACGCAAGGGACCAAGCCGCTCGGAAAGATCCATTTATACGATATACATTAGAATTTTAATTATCTTTTTAGATGCAGGCCTGCAGATGGAGAACGAAAATGGAGGAATTCAGGATCTCATAGTATATATTAAACTTAGCACAATTGCTAAAGATGGTTAAAGCCATCTTTGCCGGTTCTCTAAGAAGTCATATTTTACTTTCTATCACCAGCGATCTTCAGTGAGCCCATACCCTGATGTAATTGGAGTGACAGCTTCACTCCATTTACATAACACATTATTAAAATAACAATCAAGGGCGTATCTCCCGTAAATATATACTGAATTTTAATTATTCATTTTTATTTATTAATAATTCAAATAATCGGATCCTTAATCTTTTTAAAAAAAATATACTTTTTATAGACATAAATCGATAAAATACATCTTGTTCCAGACCGATTAAGAGACATTACGACCGGAATAGCTCGCAATTTTAGCGTGTAACGGCGTAACATCGTATGCAAAGTACGAAACATTTGCGGTGAAACAAGTGCTTACAACATAACTTTTTATTGTGTATACGTGAAAGAATATAACTGAATATCTGCCCTGCGATTCTGTAACTCACTTTTCGAACTCACACAGCGGTTTTCGCATCGGCGGTCGCTCTCAAATCAGTCGTGAAGCAGTCATTTTATGATTTGGCATTCTGAAAAGGTGGGAGCTTGTAGTTTATTGTTTATCAGAATGCCAAATCATAAAATGACTGCTTCACGACTGATTTGAGAGCGACCGCCGATGCGAAAACCGCTGTGTGAGTTCGAAAAGTGAGTTACAGAATCGCAGGGCAGGTCTGGAATATTTCTCAGTACAGAGAACACCTAATTAAATAGTATCTGTATATAACTTCATTCCGTTATAGTATAGATCAGTTGACTAAAATATTGTATGAAACATGAACAGCTCTTTGGAACCAAACGGAAGAAAGATTACATCTCTTTATAGAATTTGATATTGAATAGCATCCAACAGTCTAGTTACTAATACCATAACTAACCCAAAATATTACGAACTAAGCAACTGAGACACGGCGGCTTAGTGGTTGCGACAGCAATTGCATAATTTTTAATACCCAATAGTCGTTTAGCATAAATACTAACTGTTGTATGTTCCAATTACATTCTCATATATGCCAGCTGTTACAAATTTAGAATTTAAAGACTTATCACTTCGATATATAATAGGAAATAATCAGGAAAGTTAAATACTTCTGGACAGATATTTTATTTTATTTATCGTGAATTCCAAAAGGGCCATTGACATACGAGATATCTCTTGCTTCACTAATTGCTTCGCCCAGACGAAATCATTAAACGTAGGTACAAATATTATATCGCAAGTTGACGGTGGAACATGGGGTCAATCCACTCTGTACAATCAATAGTAGGCGAGCGCTATTTCTGTTTTTATATTTAGTTTAGCTTTAGGTTAATTTATTGTGTTTTACTTAAAGCACTAATTTCAATTGCTTGATATATTACTTGTACTGCACTGTACTGTAAGTACTTTAACAAGCTATGGAGCCTAGTGGCTTCAGCGTACGAGTCTAATCCCTGAGGTCGTAGGTTCGATCCTCGGCTGTTCACCAATGGACTTTCTGTCTATGTGCGCATCTAACATCCGCTCGAACAGTGATGGAAAACATCGTGAGGAAACCGGCTTGCCTTAGACCCAAAAAGTCGACGGCGTGTATTATACACAGGAGGCTGATCACCTACTTGCCTATGACAAATAATCATGAAACATAGAGAAATCTAAGGCCCAGACCTAAAAAGGTTATAGCGACACTGATTTTTTATTGCACACTTTCTTATGTAAATATTCTTTTTAGTTAAAGTTTAGTTTTAAATTGGTTATTAATCTTATGTTAGGCTAAATAATAATGTTGAATTTTGTCTTTGTGCAGAGATAACTTCTAAAAAAATTATATTACTTGAATGAAAGGTCTTTCTTTATAATAGAAATAATAGTCGAACAAAAAGTACAATGTTAACGTACTAAACACTACCTTCACCTGGATAAAGAATATTATACTGTGTTCAAAAAAGTTAGATAAGGACAAAACATATAATATCTATTTGAACCTTATATTAGTAAATTATAGAAAGTGATATTCACGAAGTTTCGAATAGCATCTATAGCATCATAGGCGAATATTATAAATTCACTTAGGAACTAAACTTACCTCATCATAAATAAAATTATCGATCTCCTCCAGCGGTCGTCCATACAGCTTGGGCGGGAACGGTTCATATTTCCTAGGCAGTCGGGCTCCGTCTTCCACGCTGAGTCGCCTCCGCGGCATGAAGCCAAACTCCCTGACCAACTGGGCACCCCGGGACCCAGCTCGCTTGGCTGACTCACGCGTGAAAGGCGTGACCACCGCCCTAGGCTCATCACTACGTCCCGGAGGTGGCTCTGAGAACGTGACATCCAAGGCAATCCGCAATTCCTCTCGGCGTGGCTTCTCGCATTCCGTATCGAGGGCATCCTTGGACTGTGAAGCTACCAGGGGCGCAGCGGCTTCGGGATTAGTAGCTTCAAGAGTCCGGACTATCTCCCCGAGGAGGCGAGACCCGTCTATCTCTTCGCCTGGCGAGTGGAGCGGCGCCGGAGGCGGAAACGAGAACCGCCGTTCGTCTTCCTCCATTACGTGAGCTCCATCGCCGCGGTCCGGCTATTTTCGAACTAATGACGCCATTGCGGCCACCTAAAAAGAATAAATCATTATTGTTTATCTCATTAGACTTCTGTGTCATACATTTTGTTTTTACTGTTCAAGTGATTTAAAGCAAAAACAACGAGCATGACTGGTATTTGTAAAATCAAAGCGAAACATTTTCCTCCTAAATTCCAATCACATTGAATAAATCTGCCAATATATTTAAGTACCTAATGTTTATGAAACTAATCTATAGTGTACGGTCCTGGGTCATCGGGGTGCTTTAAATAATAGAGGGTTTTATTTTCACTCTATATGTAGCAAAAGAATGTAATGTAACAGTCTAAGAGGCGTAAGTCCGACAATTTATGAAATCGCCACGGTTATAAAACTATGAAATCCTGAAAATGAGTGAGCAAAACGTACAGCCTTGGCTCGTACAGTTAGAGATTAAGTCATAAGAGAACACGATATAATTTGTTTTATTAGAATGGCAACACCACGAAATATCATAGACGTATATCATAGTATCTAAGTCAATTTCTCAGTAGTGCGTTCGATCGATCGTAGAGTTCAGTTACTCTCTGATCGGCAACTGTAAAGTAAAATCCAAATATCGTACGACGATAGTGATATACTTATTTGGCTAATATTAATTCAAATCTGCGACATATGTACGAACAAATTGAGCGCAATTTAATCGTAATTGAACCGTGGGAAATTGGCGTTCTTAGCTTTAACGACGACGTATATGAAGTACCTTTGCATCATCATAACCTGATCATCTATAAATAAATATTAATGAGACATAGAAAAGTGTCTGATACAATCAAGAGGCTAATACTTCCGACGTACAAATTAAAATCTGAATTTTTACGTATAAAACTTATTTTACACTACTCAATATATTAATCCAAATTAAATTTTGTGTTCGGGTAATTAACCCTGGATATAGGTCGCAGCAAATACACCGTATTTATTTAAGTAGTTGTTTATCGCCGCAATAACTATATTTCTCTGAACTTAGTCACAATTCAATAGAAACAGCGTTTAAAATCGAATAAAATACAAAAAGTACACATCGTTAAACAGAATGCGTGGGTTGATTCACATAAAACTGGTATTAATTGGTACGTACACATGAGTAAATTATGTATCGCGTTATAGGAAATTGTATAGGAATATTCAAAGGGGAATAGAATCAATATTGCTTCCTGGGTGATGCACAATCAAATCCTTTTGACGTATGTTCAAAAAACTGATATCTAAACAACAACGATAACGTTAATATAATACTAATTTAACACTCACTTAAAGTCATATTTGTTTAAAACAATTTACGTACCATTTTGAAACGCATAAAATAGAATATTATTATAGTATAGAGAAAATAGAGAAAAAGCCCACGGCATACACACGTTTTTTTACAGTTTATAAAGAACCTAATCATGACAATATATGTCGCAGATTCGAAAGGATTATTATTAGCCAGATAGTTATCACTATCGCCGTCCGAGATTTGGATTTTATTTAAAAATAAGTCAGTGTTTACGGGACTCAGGCGCCGATCAGAGAGCAGCTGAACTCAACGATCGATCCAACGCACTACTATACTGTCAATTTGACTTTGACACATTGATAATTTACAACCAGCAGATGTCTATGATATTGCGTGGTGTTACCATTCTAATAAAACAAATTATATCGTTTTCTCTTATTACATTATCTCTGATATATATATATATATATATATTTATAGAGAGCATTGTGTATCTACTATAGATTGGCTTTTAAAATGAAACTAGAAAAATATTACTGGAATTACGTATTGCGTTCGTATTCTGCGAATCGTCACCGTATGTGTGAATGACGTCAAACAGAAACTCAAGCCGCTCAACAGTTTCAGTCTGGGCACTTAATGGTACTGTATAAAATTTACCCTTGATTGTCGAGTAATTTGCCTTTGAAGATTTTTATGCATGTACTACGAAACGAAAGAATACAGGTTTCTAAGTGAATTTAATATAAGAATGAAATATATTTACGGTTTTTAAATGAAAAAGTACGCTGTACGATATTGCCAATGTTCATAGTTTAAAGTATTCTTATTTTTAATTTATATGTAAGAAATAAATATACATTTTCTTTTTAAGCAAGCATATAATCAACTACATGCTGCTGACACGCGGTGGAAATTTAATCAATAGATAAATCGTCGTATAAGAAACAGCACAGATCACTCAGATTTAAAAAAAATATTTTACAATAAAATGCGCGAAACCTTATCGCATAATGCATAAGGCGCCTTACAGAATTACGATATCTCATAACAAAAAAGAAGCAAGTCTTGAACGTATTTAGATACACATTTTCCGCTATTTTTAACTACGTTTACAATACTTCAAAGCTTTTTCGAGTTGCGAAAGATTCGCGTCGTTTCTTGCACATTTTCTTCGGTGCACTTATGAGCGTGGGCTGAATACAAAAGATAAATCAAATGGGACGAGTGCGGGGTGAGATGAAATTCAATTTTGCGGTGTGATAACTAGTTCCTACGCTTTGTTCTTTGCAGTGCAATTTCAAGGCGTTTGTGTGTGTGACTAAATATAATATTATAAGGCAGTAATAACAGCGACTTTGCAGTCTCTGATATTAACAATAAGGAATGGTAACAGCTACTGATGAGGAAATGTGTCTACTACATGCCACAAGAAGTCACGGAACGGTAAACTTCTTCTTAAATGAGAATAAAAAAGGATAATAAAGTCGTAGTGTATTCTTGAGAAATATAAAGTATGAAAACATTCTTTGAATCGAAACCTATAAATCTTAAAAAATAAAATATAATAACTAATAAAAATATTTACATATTCTGTGGGCCTTTTGCCATATTGATATTTATATCTTATGTCCGGGAGTTGAAGTGTTATCATAAATCATTAACAGAATCGCACATTCGTGAAAAAGTCCGTGACGTTAATAGATTGTATTTTTTTGTTCTTTTTATTAAAAATTGATACGTTTTTTTATGTCTCTGAAAATTGTTGGCCTTTGCATTTATTAGCATCTTTCACGATTCCATACTTACGTCCTACGAATAATATAAATTTTGAACATTACAGTTGACAAAGAATTTAATTTGCTATACATTTTGTTTCCTTTTTCATTGAATGGGTTACGATAGCGAAAAACAAATTAAGTTAAATTTTAAATAAATCAAGTTAGGGACCCTAGAGTTCTTCAAGAAGAGAGCGTACAAATTCGGGAAAAGCCAGTCTTCTGGTAATTAGAGAGCCCATGAGGTCGGTATCACTTAACATCAGCCTCCTAGCCATTTGCCCCCATTTAAAAATAAATAATTAATGAATTAAAATATAACATTTAAAACTAAACGTCCCTTAGACGATGCACAATATTACGAATTGCAATTGCAAATTGAACGAAGGCACCATAAGTCAGCAGAAATAAATACGTATTTTATTTATCACATTTAATTTTGATACTATGTGCGTAAGTTTATTAGCTATAGCTATGTATAGTCTATAAATCAAAGTCACATAAGTCCACAAAGTATTATATAACCACATAAATAACAGAGCCACGTCATTGTGTGTTCTACGTCTGTCTTTTGTTTACGCGCAATCAATTTCTCGCCTTTGCCCTTTACACGGCTCGCTAGCTAAATTGAAATATTATTTCTAGAGGTAATGTGAAAAAATAATACTGCTATTTCATTTTTGTTGATTATGACACACATATAATACTGATAAAATAACTTTGATTTTGTTTGTGCATTACTCAAAGATTCTGGCATACAAAAGGCATAGAAAACTGACTTAATTGCCTTTAATAAAAAAACTAAATCAGTGGTTAAACAAAAAAGCTAAAACAACCTCATTAGGTCTTGGCCTCAGATTTCTGAATCTGTTTCATGATCATTTTTAAATCTGATAGGCAAGTAGGTGATCGGCCTCCAGTGCCTGACACCGTCGACTTTTTGGGTCTAAGACATGTCGGTTTGCTGACGATGTTTTCCTTCTCCGTTCGCAAATGTTAAATGCGCACATATAAAGAAAGTCCATTGGTGCACAGAATTGGTCCATTCAACAGAAATCAAAAATTATTTAATTTTAATCTGTCAGGTATGTTTAAAAAGGCTAAAGCTTTTAACAGATGTTGACACATCACGTGTTATTTCACATGAAAGTGAGCTCCGCCTTCAATCAGACATGGGGCTGTTTCTTTGTTTTCATTTATAGATAATAAAAGGACAAAATGTTTACTATACAAGCACAAAAACACATGACTTCTGGATTGAGAATTATATGTTCAATATTCACTTTATATTATAAATGCTGAAACTACATAAAAAGTTTATAAAGAGGTTTTAATGCTTATAATGACTTGTCACAATGACAGCTGACAGGCGGCATGACAATACAAACAATGATATCAAACAAATATCACAAAACGGGAATATTGTGTGTCACAAGAGATATAATACAAGTTTAAATGAAAAATACGATGTCGCCTCTGGGAATGAAAACTCAACACTAATATTTTATTTGAAACTTTATTCTGTAAAGTTGCGCATTTTGAAAGGAATACTTCAGCTATTTTCCAAACGTTTTATATTTTAAATTGAATAGTTTATTATATAGTTAATTAAGGGTTAATCGTTACTTAAGTCATATAATAAACATTTAATAAGTTCATCGAAGGCTTTATAAACGGTATTTTGTTACCATATGCTTCTGCATATTACATATATATATATGTATTATATATGCATATTAAATTAGATTATACCTGGGCATACCATATTGAAGTTGAATCGTCATCTAATAAGCAACCAGTATCTTACTAAGTTGTGTTTTGTGTAAAAAACAAAATAAATCAGCAGAATTTTCCATATTCCGCCTGCAAACACCTTTGAGTTCAGGCACCTCTCATTCGAATTTGTTGCGAATATTACAGAACTTGTCGAG